TGCTGGTGCTGCTCCCCCATGGTGCGGGCTTACTGCCGCTGCCCCGTGCTAATAGCAGCGCTGTGAGTAATTCGGATTTCCTCCTGCTCAGGAGGAGCGTGGATTTCTGCAGTTGTGTGAAGTCCGTAGAGAAGCGTGAAGCCTGACTGAAGCCATCTATGAGGAATGGGTTGTTGGTGCTTTGAGCTGCCAGGAGGAAGAGCTGGTCCTGTGATCCCCTCCCCTGCAGCACGGGATGGTCCGGAGGGGCCAAGGTCCCTCTTTGCACTTGATTTGCGAGGGCCCTGCTGCCATCGTGGGCTGAGGCTTTTACTTTCGGGACGCTGGCTGTTGTCCAGCTGCTTCAGAAACTACGGATTGTGGGTTTGTCCTCGGTAAGGGAAATGCCTCTCAAAGGAGGTGTGACGTGGTCTCATTTCTCTCTGCTGAGACACAGAAGTCATCACGGGTATGTACATCTTTGTAGTGAAAAACCTTTTTTTGATAAAAGGATAGGGAGCTTTTGCCACCCTGAAACAGCAAATCCCCTCCCATGGATATCACTAATGGATCAGTCCAGAGCCCCACAGTAAAGCCCAACCATTGCAATATCTGGTGACTATTAATAAATCTGGGAACCCCCAAAAACTCTGCCAAAAATTTGTTATCTTGTCTCAGACTTGTTTTCTTGGTGCTCTCCTATAGCTTCTCCAAACCTGAAAATTTGAATGCTGGTTACAAGGTTGTCGAGTCCTTCAAAACTAAAATCTTTGACATGCGAACTGGGAATCTAATTTTCCAGGGGATTCCCGCTGCTTGCATCTTTCTTAGGTTATACAGTTGTCACAGCAGGGAGCTGTTAAGTGTCTTGATTTTTTTTCTTTCCTGTTTCAATGAAGGCAAAGCAGATCCTACTTTACAGAATACAGTGCTTATTTAGTCTGTCAAAGAGTGGCAGATTTTGTATTTCTTCACTCTTGGAGATGAGTCTGTAACTCTGCCCTAGACTACTCTTGCATTACCCTAACTGCACTAGAAAATATGAACGTCTGCTTGGACTATAAGTGTTTCAGTGCTGAAGCCTCCTGGTGTCACCAGGAGAGGGGACAGGATACCATCGCTCCTTGACAGGTCCATGTGGCACGTCACGAGCAAGAGCTAGGATTCGGTGCATGCAAACAGAATAACAGGATCAGCTTATATGTAGCATCGCAAGATCTATAGAGCAAGGACAGCTCACAGCAGAAATTGCTACAGGTGCTGTGTACCTGCCCACTTCAGCAAGCAAGGGGCACTTGTGACCACTGTCAGATGTTCAGAAGTGCTCCTACAGCTGGGCTCTAGGTGAGTGCCTGATTTGGGTAGATTCATGTCTGTGGCCAAGAAAACTTAATACTTGCAATTTTTTTGGTTGGAGACTAGTGCCTTGACCATGAGACACTAGTGTTTCATTATATGTTGATCTTGCTTCTTTTGTATGATGAACCTTAGCCAAAACTGAAGAGCATATACAAGCATGATACACAAAATAGTTCACAATGGGCTGCAAATGCACATGAAAAACCCAAATGCCTTTTGAATCTGCTGGGCTTTGCACTTTTGGTCCTTGCTACTTTCAGTCTCTTCTGCTTCTTTTCTTTCAAGCTGCTGCTGAGGCTTCTGAAAGGCCAAAAGGTGCCAGTTTAGGAGGGAAACATGAGTTTTGTAAAAGACTCATGTGAAGCACAAACCTTCAGCTTGAGATTCAGCTGTGGGACGCTCGCTTCCATCTTCCATCTTACGAGACTACCAAGTGTTACGTGCGTCCTGCCCATGGCTGCCGGGCTCCTGTTGCGCCTCTGCTCCTGAAATACATCATCTGTGAAGTTTGTTAATTTTTTTAGAAGTGTAGCTTCCTCCTTGTGACCACCAAGTGGTGCTCTGCGCTGCACCTTGCAGCAAGGCAAGCTGTTGGCATTTTGGGATGGGGGGTTAAAAAGCTGTTTTCAGAAGTAGGAATGAGCTACAGAGGAGGAGGAAACAAGTTAAGAGCCCTTTCTTTTCCCCTCACAGTGGTTGTGCTCCACGGACTACATTATTCACATCTTTATCCTGTGGCTGCGTGATGATTGATGTAGCTTGGAGATGATTAGACGTGATAAGTAGTCTTGGCACTTTCAATTTGGGTGCTCAGCTTGGCTGCCTGCTAGACTTTGGAGGTACAGAGATGGCTATCGACTGCTTGAAAACTAGATCCTGGCAGGCGTCTCTGATTTGGCTTGCTAAAAATCACAAGAAGCTTCTAAAAACCTTGTCCCAAACTAGTTTTTCAGAGATAAATATCTGATCCCTGTTTTTTCTTGGCTGCTTTTTCACCCAGTCCATCTAGAGAAAGCCTCGTTCATGTCCTCGTCCTCTCCGGTGTGCTAGCTATTTAGTGTCATTGCTGTTAAAGTTTGGAAATGTTTATAGCTGTGTTGCTCTCAGCAGAGGCAAAAGACCTACATTAACAAGTCTTTGCAGGTGTTGTGGTTTAAATTTAATTTCCTGCAAGCACTCTCCAGGTGCCATTCTCAGGTTTACAGAAGCTGTGTATTTTGTATGAAAACATGCAGTTTGATAGAGAAAATTCTTATGTTGATTTGAAATGATGGGCACATTATAAGACAGAAACTGCCTATAAAATGTAATTTAAGGGGCTAACTACATCCCTGTAAGCTCCATTAGATGCTCTGTGTGGTATTATTGTTTGCAGGAGTGATCATTCCTTTCCAGGTACCGAAAGCCACACTATAGCAGGATGATGCAGCTAAATTCAAACAGCAGCTCATTTGTATGAAGTGCAGGGCTAGAATTGAAAGGTGGCAAGCAGGATTGTCTTGTCTGGTGAGCTGGAAAAAAACATGCAGTGTTTTAAAGCAAATCCTTGAATTAGCAGGAAAAGGAGATGCCATGTAACAGCACGGTGAATGCCGTGGTTTTCTCCCATGAGGACAGGCTGAGACAGTTGGTGTTGTTCAGCCTGGAGAAGAGAAGGCTGTGGGGAGACCTTACTGTGGCCTTCCAGTACCCAAAGGAGGCCTACAAGAAAGCTGCAGGTGGACTTTTTGCAAGGAAATATAGTGATAGGACAAGGAGTAATGGCTTTAAACTGAAAGAGGGTAGATTTAGATTAGATATAAGGAAGAAGTTCTTCACCATGAGGGCGGTGAGGCAGTGGAACAGGTTGCCCAGAGAGGCTGTGGATGCCCCCTCCCTGGAAGTGTTCAAGGCCAGGTTGGATGGGGCTTTGAGCAACCTGGTCGAGTGGAAGGTGTCCCTGCCCATGGCAGGGGGGTTGGAACCAGATGATCTTTAAGGTCCCTTCCAGCCCAAACCCAACCCATGATTCTATGATAATGTGCACTGATTTCTCTAGATATTCCAGTCTGTGAAGTAGAGGCCAAAGGAAGGAGGCCAGCTCCCCCCAGTTAATTCAAGTCAGATAGCCACCAACTAAATAGCTTCCCCAAAGTTCCCCAGTTTGTTTCTCTGGTGTGTTGTGGAAGAGCTGTGCTGGAGTGCCATTGCATCCCACAGCAGAAAGGAGAAGAGTGAAGCATCACCTGCTTTACTTAGAGCAGGTATGATATGTGCAGCCCCTCAGGTGTCCTGCCGCAGCTGCTCCATCTTATTGCAATGTCTGTAACCTATATGAGGTACAGCTCCAACAGAAATAAAGGAATATCTAGATAACAAATGTTGATTTTGCTGGATTGTTAGTTTTTAACATGGTCTTAGACCCCCAGCTAAACCAACTGCTCAGAGGCAGGGTGATGGGGTCTCCCAGTCTGAGTACATCGGGGGGATTTTTTCTACAGGGCTGAGCAGAACTTGGTGTACATTAGATAAAGTGCATAAATATTATGTTTTAGCTTTCATCTTTGAAAAAACTAACCATCAGAAATTCAAAGCATGTCATTATTCCAGATACTATCTTTTCATGGTGGGTAGCTCCATTAGTAGCTATTAAATAGCTAAGATGAAAATTCTGGCTCAGGAAGTCCTTGAGTCTTTGATAACTAAAAGCTGGGAAGAGAGACTGTGGGAAGACTGGCTCTGTGTGTGCCCCGCTCTCATCTTTCTTCAGCATCTGCAGCTAGTTGTGGTCAGAAATAGGATGTGGGCAGAAAGGGCCTTTGGTTTGATCCTGTGTGGTCGTTCTTGTGTTGCCATTTTAGATTCTAGCAAGGAAATATGGCTTGAATATTTATCTCTCCATATGTTAACAGGACAGTCAGCTTTGGACTAAGATGGGTATCTGCTCTAGTGGAGAATCCACAGGGATTTCCTCCGTGTCACATTTATCTGCTCTCACGTGCAGGGTTGGCTATGCTGCCTTCTTTCCAATACTGAGTTAAGTCTTCCTTGGTCATTCCTTGGTCTGGTGTAAATCTGTTGTGACAGGAGTGCTGGTATAAACCTGCTGAGGATCACTACCATCACCGCTGTTCTCCTGCACCCAAGAGCCGATCTGCCAGCACGCATCAAAGCGAGATGCTTTTTATGAAGGAGGAGCCATCAGTCTAATTGGGCTGGAAAGCGGCGTCCTTTCCAGAGCTGTGAAAGGCCTAATAAAAGTTAAAAATAGAACCAACTTATTGCTGCCTCCAAGATTGGAAATCAGGGAAATAGTTCTCACTTGAGCTGAAATTAGTTGAGCAGAGAGCACTATAATTATATATACTCAGGTATTTGTACACATGCACATGCTTGTTTGTACTCCACTACTAGGAAGCAAAACAACAGTATTTCCCACTAATGGATTTGAAAGTCTAAGGCAACATCTCATTGTTACTTAGCAACTTCAAACGGTGGTGAGCTCTTCCAAATTAACCCCTTTGGATGTCTTTCCTGTTAGAAAACAGGCACAAGTTCATTCAGCTGGTCTGCCTTTGGAGAAGTGGTATCAGCTGGCTGTCTTCGTGCTCACCTATGGAGATGTATGAACCTTCTGTCTTGTGGGATCTTTCCTGATGTTGCTTTTGTGTCTCCCTGGCCAGAGGGTGAGGAAGAGGAAGAGGATGAAGAGGAGGAGGAAGAAGAAGAGGAGGAAGAGGAAGATGAGGAGGACAAAGACATAGATTCGATGGATGAAAGCATGGAGGGTGACACGGAGCTGCCAGGTTTCACACTTCCAGGCGAGACCTCCCAGGAGCCCATAGTTGGCCTGGAAAACCCTGTGGCCCAGCTGGCTGGGGTGTCCTACCAGGTTCCCGACACCATCGAGTGGGAGCAGCAGAACCAGGGTCTGGGTAAGAGAAAAAAACCCTTCTTCCTTTACCCTTACAGAGGACATGTCTTCTGCTCTTCACTTTGTATGGGACAGCAAACCCATCCCCCAGAGATGACTGGTTGAACTGGGATGGGTCCCAGGCAGCATGACCTGAATTTTTGTTCTGGGGAGAGCTTCTCTGAATACACCAGACCTGCTCTTTCATTCCCAGAGCTTAGCATTGTCTTGCTCTGAGGGTGGACAAATAAATACTTCTCAGGTGAGGGGAGATTTCAGCGCCCTTTGCCTGGAATGGGTTGGTGCAGGGGTATACGTCCTGTGAGGACAAAGAGAGTAGGGTAGCTGGGTAGTTGCTCATCAGCCCATTTGCTGCTTCAGCAGCATTCTTGTTAAGTGCCACTTTTCTGGCATTTTTAAGGGGTGTATGGTCCAGCCATGGGACTTTATGGTGGCAATGTTAAGCAAGACAAACCTGCAAGGCCTCTATAAAACTTTATATAGTTTATTCCCGCTGTACGTATAGGTCCTGTGTTTTATGACTGGACTAATTTATTCCACTTAGGAATAGCTTATCAGTGTTTATATGGGTGATGTCCATCTGATGCAAGTCAAAGCTGGTGTGGAACAAGGTAGAGTTTAGAAGGGAACTTGCCCAGCTTGGCTAAGGGCACTGGGATCATTTCGCGGCATACTCAGTTTCCAAGCCAAGCCCCACCAAAAGCAGTGGGAACCTTTCAGGTGAATTGCTAGGAGCTGAAGCATGTCTGTACAGACGGTCTCTGTGTGTGACTGTTTGGGAACTAGCTGTTTTGAGAAGCTCATCAAATAAAGAAACTCTGAAACTCTTTTATATGTTACTAAGAACTATCACTTCCCCTGGATGTTTAATTTTGATTTAACCTGGTGGTCCTCCCCCTGTAATGCTGTTTCTAGCTTGCTTTAGCATTGTTAGCTTCCTTTGAATTGAATCAAAGAGCGTATTTCAAGAACTCTGTGGGAGGGTTGCTCTTTGAGGGCAGGTTGAGTTTGCATCAGGTCTGATGTCTCCTGGTCCCACTAACTCTTGCTTGAAAGCCATTGTATGGATGGTTGCCATGTCAGATCCGTTTCATGTGTCCTGTTATCCCATCAGGCTGGACTGGAGCTGTGTGAGGGGAATAATTCTAAGTATTTAAGGCTTTCTGGTTGGCTTTGGTAAGTTGGATTAAAGAGGTACATGACAGTGCTCAGAGGAAAACTGTGTAAGAAACATAGGGTTGTGATAGGAGTCGCATCAGCAGCTTTGCGTCCTCATCTTACTCATTTCCTTCGTGCAGGATCTTCGTGGTGTCTTGAGAGAAAATGCGAGAGGAGTAGCATATTTTCTGCACTCAGGGGTGCGATGGGCTGGCTTGGCGAGCTCTGTACGACTGCTAGCAATAGTGAGAAGGCAGCATTAAGCTGTCAACCATCTAAAGCTATTTGCCTGGTTCAGGACTGTAAGTACCAGGATGGATGGTTTGGCAGAGCTTTGCCTCTGAATCAGTCAATCCTGGCTAAGGGTGTCAGTGGTTTGTAATGCGTTCAAGAGAGGCAGCGTTTTCCAAACTCCGAGGTGTGTCCCCACATACCAGACATCACGTTGTGCTGCATGGAGGAAGATGGCACTGATATCTCTTCAGGGATCTTGGTACATTTAATCATCCCAGCTAGGGTGGCTGATGCAATGTCATCTGGCTTGGGTCCCCGGAGGGCTCTGACTGGAGTCCTGTTCCCAGAACAGGGTGCGGGGCGATGGTTAGTTTGTCTGGAAGGGTGTCTAGAGGCTGCTGAAGATGCTGTTGTATATGACATAGGCTGTTGCCATGAACTTTGGGGCTACGGAGGAGGTTGTTCTGCATAAATCATCAGGCACAGCTCTGTTCATAGCTGATGCAGGTCTGAACTGGAGCTATGGCTGCATTTCCAGCCCTACCACCTCTGCTGCTGGAGGAAGAGGCTCAGGGTGCGAGATGCCTATCAGATGCATTGGTAAATGAGGCAGGTGAGAAAGCAGTGACCAGAGGCTGAAGCTGTCCCTGGTGTGCAGTAAACCTCTCTGGCTGGAGAGACTGTAATAATTGTGCACGAAAAATAAGCAGGCCTGGGCTATGAAACAATAAGTATCTTTAACACTCCTTGTGTAATAGCATCTGTTATGAGGGGTCCTTGCCCTAGTGCAGAGCCATGCTGGAGGATGCACTTTGCAGTATCTCTTCCAGAGATCTGCTTCTGAATGTATGGGTCCAGTTCAGTTTCTGATATTTAATATTGCATCATCCTGCAAGCCTTCATCCTCCATCACCTTCTCTCTTTCTTAGACCCGGAAGGGCCGTCTTTCCAAAAATTTCAGACATGGAATAAATTGACTGTGTGGCAAAAGGCAGGACTTTTGTCCCTAACATGTTTTATTGACCCTCCTGCAAATTGGAGGAGCCCTTGTGAAGTCTGTCAAGTCGGGTCAGCTGCAGAGTGCTGAGTCCAGGCACCTGAAGGACTGGGCAGACGTGAATTTCTGTGTTCTCTGGAAGTGCCTGGCTGGGTTGTATATCACCAGATCCAAATGGTTTGGATTGCCTTTTATTTTTGTGCTGTTGCAGTCTGTGCAAGCAGCCGTGAGGGAGAGGATGAGGCTGTGGCTGAGCTGAGTTCATCTTTAGGAGTTAGGTGGGACTTCTGTGCAGTGGTGGTGTAGGTGAGAAAAGAGGGGACGCGGTGGGATCAGTCTCTCTGCTTGTGACGCACCCCTCTTATTCCACCAGGTAAACACTTATGTAAAGAGCCATTTATTCTTCTTCTGTCTGGACAACCTTAATGGCTCTTTGATATTGCTTCCTTCCCCATCTACAATGTGCTGATGCCCACAGTGCTCCTAAGAGGAAGGGAAATTATTTATGTTTTAGAGGCACAAAGAAAACCAAGGACTTGCATGAGCTCACGCTGAAAACCTGAGACCAAGCAAGGAGCTGAACCCAGGTGTTTGAAGGGCTCTTTTGCTGGGAGTGCATGGGGAATGGGAAATGCTGTCCCATCTCCGTGGCAGTGCTGGCTCCTTTTCCCTGAGATGCTGCGGCAGCAGTGCAGCCCTTCCCCTCTTCCCAGTTTGTGCCAGGTGGGAGTTGCTGCCCTGGTTCCCTGGCCCTGGGTGCGTGGGCAGATGCTGGGCTACTGCTGTGTCTGTACCTGTGTCCATACCTGGTCCTAGTTACATGTTTCTTTGTGGGGTGTATTAGGGAGAACAGGAAGGGTGGAAAAAAAGTATAGCTTGTGTCAGCAGGAGGTGGATTGTCGAGAGCAGAAGAAATCCCCCAAAGCTGGCAGGAGGCCAGAAGAGCTGCCCACATTGTTCTGCTGGAGCGCCTGGAGAGGCCAGACTTACCGTGAAGGGCTCGTAAAGCTTTAGATCTGCTGGACGTGTGCATGGACTATTTCTCTTTGAAACACTTTTCCTCTAAGTGCTTTTCATCTAAAGCTACCTCTTTGAAATCCATTTCCTTTAAGTGCATTCCTTCTAAAGCTAAAATTAACTTGACTTCAATGTTAAGATGGCTTCGTAACCACTGGATGTCCCAGACGCAGTCTCTGGAGGGGGGAGCTGCAGTTCTGAATGCAGCTGGGTCGGGGCCCCGTGCTCCCGCCTGCCGCGGCCCCCGGCGTGCGTCTTTGTGCATCCCAGGGAAGAACGCTGCGCTTCCCTTCCTTCGCCAAATAATAGTGCTGAGATGTGAAGAATTTCCCATCTTGTGTGAGTGAAATATGGTTTAGAGGGGGAAGTTGTTCTGCTGGACCTGGGATATGGCACAGGAAAGGAAGACGTGAAGAAAGATAGCAGTACCCAACGCAGTAAAAAATGAGGGTACACCATCTAAGCACCAAAGTTTTACACTTGGCATTTTCCATCTTTCAAATACTTTGCACATAGGTCCTTCTCCTGGGGATGCGTCTGTCCTGTGGCCTTCAGAATTTTGACATTTAACGCTAAAATCTATAGTACAGAAGAGCCCAGAAGTATTGGAGTAGCTATTCTCAGGTCAGTTATTATTGAGTTTGCTTGGTCTGATGGCTGACACACTGCAAATCCCTAGAGAACAAGTAACTTGATCCACAAACAGTTTGGCAGAGCCAGAGACAGTTTGGATTTTTGTAGCGGTCAGTGAGAAAGTGCTGGAGAAACAGAATCATTAAAAACATCAATTCTGGGAAGTCAGATGGTCCTACATTAACTCCAGCTGAGCAAAAGCAATTTATAAGTGCCAGTAACAAGGCTGTCAGTTTTACAGTCCATCAGCTGATTCTCTAACAAGCTGTCATGAATGGGTGATTTAGATTGCTTAAACAATCACCGTCAAAGGTATTGGTAAAAGTGGTTTTAATATGATGTTATAGAAGTGCGACTTAACAAAGTTCAATGGCAAGGTTCACTCTATTAATTACTGCATGGAAGAAACATGCAAAGGAAAATTGAGTTACAGTCGAGTTAGAATGATTCACAGAGAGACTGGGGATGCAAAAGGGTCAGGAGGACCCTCCCTCACAAGGTTCGGAGTGGACCCCCTTGCTTTCTAAACTCAGAGAGGAGTCTAGGTGCGGCTAGGTCCAAAGCTAGTCTCAGACTTGGTCAACGGTTTATGTCTAAGGGATAAATATGTGAAATTTATGTAATGCTTCCTTAGCATCAATTCAGCATGCAATCAAAGTTACCAAGACAAAATCAAAGTTACCATACTACAAGGTTATGTGTGATATCGGTCACTTACCAAAGATCTGTCGTTGGTAAAAGGTCTCTCTGCCTCGAAGAGCAACCTTGAGAGGTGTCCCAGCTCAAGGGGAGGTCACTGCCATGCAGCCACGCTGCCTGGCCCGGAGAGCTCAAAGAAGGCTCACCTAGGCTGTCATATTTATAGGATAAAGTGATTGGCTTGTAGTCAAATTACATGCAGTAGAAAAGGTATGCAGAAGACTCCTTGTACCCACAACTTTCTTTGTTCCTTGATAAATGAG